GATCATCCTAGATTACTTTCTTGATGTACGTGGTTCCTTATCTTCTGCTGGCACCTTTGGGTGGGGCTCCTATTTTATCATCAGAGGAGATGTCAACGTCATTAGTAGAACACCGTGTTTGACAAGAAGATGAGGCTGTAGGGTCAGTGAGAAAAATATCCCATGATTTATTGCCCATATTGAGACCCTTGTAAGGGAAAGGAAGTGCTTAACCTACCTAGGCCTTCATGGTTTTCAGCTGAGTGCATAACTGTTCAGGGTAAAATAGAATGATCATCTTATGAATGAAGAAAAAGGGTTGAAAAATGAAGGGGAAGAGGAAGGAGGTAGGATATGATTATAAACAAACCAGGATACCAGATACCAATCTGCTCACAAATTCATTTTGGAGTCTGCATTACTGTCTAAAAATAAAGAAATTTCTCTAATTGAACATTTTGTAGGCATACCTTCAAAGAAAGTCCTTCCAATATATCCATGGCATGGGTTTGAGGATCATGACTCACCTGCAAAGCCTGCCTACCAGGCTGTGGATTTCTGGATGTTAACCTGTCAGGTTGGTTTAATGTGGGTCATTTTGTACCCAAAGCTTGTGGGGCTTTGAATTACTATTTGAAAATATAGGATGAATGTATTTATTGTTCCTATTTTTTTCCTTGTTCTTTCTTCCACATTGATTTTTAAAGGGAAATATAACCAGAAGGAATTTCCCTTCGTGGACAGGACTGGATCTGAGAATTGAGTGTTCCTTTGAAGTCTTAGTGTCCTCCTTTATTACTTCACCAGGTGAGGCAACTTCTCCAGGCATGGCACTAACGGGGTGGAAGGGCTTGCTTACTCTAACCTCTTGCAATTTTTAAAAATTTTAAAATGGTCTACCATTCAATTTATTCTATTTTTCTAACCTCTTTGAAATTTTGTTATCCTAAGCCTTATTTTTTATTAGTACATGTGTGTGATATATAATGATTACATTCATGGTTGGTAGCTCGTGCATGTACATGACACATCTCAATTTTTTTTCATTCTCTTTCCCTGTGGTGCAGTCTTGATACTTCTTCCCTTTGGACATCTTTGGCCAACTAACACCTGTTCTCCTCTCATAGCTGTAGGCAAGGTGGAGGGCTGGGTGTGAGCTGTCCACTAAGTGACTTCAATGAGTAGATTGTAACCTGAAACTCTTTAACCAATACCTCAAATCTGGTTGGGCACACATTTTCAGACAGTAGGTTTTTTATTTCTTTAAAAATCATACTACATGGAGAGTCTCTCAGTTTATCTTTGTCAGAACAAACTCGCTTCCCCTTGTATTATTCCTCCTTTGAAATACCAACCATAGGAGCTTTTTTTTTTTCTCCTTAAATTCTTTTATTGGTACATTTCAGGTATGCAATACGTTTACATTTATCATTGGGTGCTTGTACCTGTACATGATGTATCTTGGTTCTTATTTTTTCCCCATTCCCTGTGCGCCCTTCACCCCCTCCACCCTTCTCTATTTACATAGACTTCTTTTCCATTTTTTTCTTTTCTCATAATTTTTCCTTTCCCTTCGTTCCTTTCCCCTTCCCCTCCCACCACCCCTAAACCTTTGGACCTTTTCTTCCTATTTCAAATTATCAGAGCTTCTTGATTAAGAACCCATTTAGTTCTTTCAGATAAGGCAAAGAGTTAAATTAAATCTGTAACTGCTGAGACAGGAGGAAAAAATGCTGATCAAATCTATTTTATTTCCATCTAGTTTTCTTTAACTTTCTTCCTTCTTATTTTTGTCTCCTTCTAGCTTCTTTTTAGGCTAAGAATAAAACACTCTGAGTCCTAGATGCATCTCTGGCCCCTTGGGTCAAGGCAAGTGTTGAATCTTCTCTCTTCCCTTTTCTCCTGCAATCCGTGTGGTGAGGCACAGATTTGAAATTTGATAAGCAAATAATCTTAACTATGAACATCATCTTTCAATCAACATTGACCTTCCCCTCTCTTCCTGGATATCTCACCTGAGCAATCTGTTTCTTTTAGCCTGAAGAAACTGCTGAAGGAAGAAATGTTAAATCTAGCTTTTCATTAACTTTGCCATTGATTTCTATATAACTCTGTATGAGTTACTTCTTTTGTGAATGGATGAAAGTCTCAAAGATTAATGGTTGTTCTCAGGAGTTTTTAGACCAGCTTCCAGATCTTCTGGAGTTTTGTGTTCCTCTTAAAACTCAGAGATACATAGACACACAGGTATATAGGCACAAGCATAAGCGTTAAATGTGCTTTCTTATAGGAAAATACCAGGTAAAAAGATGATTATGGACTAAATCAATAGTTGACATAAAAAGTTTTCTTCTACAGTTTCATATATATATATATATATATATGTTTCATGCTAAATATATATATTTACAATACATGTTTATAGTTCATAATGTTTATATTCCTTGTGGGGAACTGGAACATGTACATATTATGTCTTAATTCCTTTTTCCACCTTCTCGGCCTTCCCCTCTTCCCCCTCCATCCTTCCATCTCTTCATTCTCTTCCCTTTTCCGCACATATTTGCAGTATTTAATGCTTACATTTTTTGTGTGGAGTCGATAAATGTACATAACTCACCTTCATTCCTTCTTCATACCTTTTCCTCCCTCTGTCTCTTTATCGCTTTCCCCTTTGAGAAAGATCTATCTCCCTGCTTCCTATTATCCATCAGTATATTTTTAAGAAAGTTTCTTATGAAAAGCATTATATGCTTAGAATGAAAATCCAATTATGGCATGCAGAGAAGAGAGGTTATTAAAATAGCAAAAATATGGAAAATACTGCTGCCAAATGTCATCCAATGGGAAAATAGTCTCCTAAAAATATTACAGTATGTCCTCATCCCCCTGATTCATCGGATTTGGGCCCCTGTGTCTTCTGGTTCTTCTCCAAAGTCAATGTAACCATGAAAGGTAAATGTTCTCAGTTGATTCAGGATATCAAAGCAGCTTCAGCAATACAATTAAAGGTATTCACTAGACAAGACTTCCAGAACTGTTTCAGAAAGTGGCAAGAATGATGGAATAAGTGTGTTCAGAGTAAGGGGGAATATTAGACGAGGGGGATTAATGACACTGTGTCTTTTACTACAATATTTTATAAAATTTTAAACACACTTATGTTGTATCACTCTTTGTATTGTCATCTATACCATCTTCATCTAGTTCATTCATCATATTTGTACCTGTAAATTTTAAATATTCTCAACCTAATTCTTTATGAGGCATTTTCTTTTATTTGTTGTCAGTAAATCTTCTGATTGATTTTAAATCTGAGTACTGATTAGAATCAAGCCAAAGATCTGTCCCAAAAAATCTTTTGCTACCATTTTAAAGGCCTTTTGTTTTTCTTTTCATGTCTGGAAATAGTATTAAATTCTGAATATTGGAAGGGACTAGATTAGAAGTGTCTTGGAATTATAAAATAATGCTAACGAAACTAATGGAATTCAATTATATGTAATATTGAATCGGTGCCAACTTTTTTCATTGTGTCCCAAAACAGTGAATGACACTCCAGTTCCCCAGGTAAGATTTCCTGCCTTGATGGCAGCAATTTTCCTTTATTGAACTCTTCCTTTTCACCATTTTGTGAATCCCCAGCTGACTGGGTTGTCTTTCAAAATGACATCCACCATCTGCTGTCTCTGGGCCACTGCTGAGATTCAGGCTCCTGCATCTGGGCTTACTCTTAGTCAGAGTGTTTGCTATCTATCAGGCTGTCAGGGAAAGGGTTAAAAATGAGGGTCAGCAAGATGCTCACTGAAATGACCTTGGCTGACGCCTTTCTGCAGAGAGGCTGACTGCCTTCTGGGAAAGAAATGTGTAGAGATAACTTATCACACAAAAAACTAACCATTGCCAGGCTCTATCCAAGGCTGGGAATGATCCCTTCCAGCCACACGGACTGTTGGTGCCAAGTCACTTTGGTCTGAACGCAGTACTTAAAAAAACTAACAAACTGGGGCATAGTCTCTCCTAAAAGCTCTATCTCATGCAAAATCTGCCCCCGGGAGATTCCCTTCATCTTTGGTGCTGTCTCGTGCCTCAATATGTGGTAGTATGTCATTTGCTATGCTCATATCTGCTGTACTTTTATAATAAACGTACTTTCATCATTTAAAAATCATTATGTGACTCTTCTCTATTCATTCAGATCCGATGCTCAAATTTCTGTGGAGCCACAACTTACCTGTGACTCCTTGTTGCTACACAGGCCAACTGTGCTTCCTTGTATTTCCATTTTAGCTGCACCAAATTCCTTTCCCCTCTAACATTATGTCCTTATTCTCTCTCATTTTGATACCCTTAAACACAATACTTCTTTGGCCTCGGACCCTTGCCTTCTCCATCTTATGTTCCCACTTCACCTGAGCATGCCTGGTTAACTCCCGCAAATGTTAACTTAGTTATTTCTTCATTCAGGAAGCCTTTCTTGCCCAAGCCCCAGGTAAATACTTGGGCATGCTCTTTCAGCTTCCAACGTCTACCAAGAAAATTCCAACCTTTCTCTGAGTAACAGACTTTTTCTTCTTTGTTTCACGATAAGTGGTCTGAGGACAGGGACCACTTTTATTTTCATCACCATGGCATCCCCAGAACCCAGAATGGGGCCACGGAATGGGTTGAACATGTTTTATTTTTTTGAATGCATCTAACCCTCTTGGTATCTCTTTATAGTAACCTCACTAATGTCCTGAACACCATGTAACCTATTTATAAAATTAGATGTTAGAATACAAAGATAAATGGTTTCATTTTACCCTGTATAGTAACTAGATTCTATGTAGAAGCTAAAAACAATTATTTTTAAACTAATCCCCCAAAAGATGCTGTGCCTTAACAGGTAACAGGGTCTTCAAAATTGCAGACTGAACAGATGATGACGCTTGGCATTCAAACCCTGTGAGTGGAGCAAGTAACAAAGAAGAAACAAAAGCTCAGGCTTGTTCTGAAAAAATAAAAAAACAGAACAAAACAAGGGAAAAAACCCTGTTTTTTATTGTTATTTAGAAAGCACACACAGCAATTTATTGGGGCAAAAGGGAAAATGCAAAATAATTGTGCATACAAATTCATTTCAAAAGAACTGATGCCACTTCCCGAGTAATATCCATGAGTTTAAAAAATTTTGCATTTCTTATATCTATATCCATAACTAGAGTTAAGGATATAGATATATGGAAACACATTTATCAGAAATCCTTCCTCCAAAATGTGCATATCCTTTTTCTTCCCGGAACATTTCTGCAGGTGTTTTCTTGGATCATGCCACAGTCTCTTTCCTCTGAGTTCGTCTCTGATGACAAGTAAGAATACTTGTGAAAGAAGATTTCCCCTTAGTTCTTGACTTTTTCTTTAATTTTTTTTGATTCTTCAGAGAGATTCCCAGTTCTTCCATGATGGCATTGAAAGAGAGACACTAGAGGACATGAAACAACAACGCATCAGTTTAATTGAACCTGTCTCCAGCCTGTGCAGTCCTATCTCTTACCTACAGTTTATGATCACAAGATACTGGTCTTAAGGAAGCTCTTTCACAACTGCCCAGTTCCCCTCGCCTCCTCCTCCACCCATTGGCCACCCATCTTTTCTACTCAAAGACACCGAGGCAGTAAATTAGCTAGTCAAACTTTACGGTTTCATTCACAAATGCAACAGTATAAAACCACTCAATCAGAGAAAATTCAAGACTCTCAAAATAGATAACTTACCTTTGCTGAGACACCAAAATAGAGTTAAATTAAGGCATTTCCCCCATTGAGATGATCCAAACATTGATAGGTTTATCAAGGCATACGGACACTTCAGTAATGCTATAGAAAATGAACAAACCTTCTCTACACCAAGGCTTTGTTTTTTTCTCCCATGAAACCTTACTTTGTTCCTAAAATAAAATCTAAGTCTTGATGACTTTCCTTTCTGATAAAAAAAAAGAAAAAAAACAATTTTAAATTCTATATTTTCTCCAAAAAACAGAGATTCTGGCAGCAGCAATAATGCAGCTGTGGTTGAAATGGAAAATGATGTGGTATTGAACTGCACAGCAAAATGATGGCACAATGCAAAGGAAAATGGAATTATGACGGTACAATGTTATACCCATGCAGATGATATATTATTCCATTACAATTGAACTATATTCACATGCACAGTATATAAATGACACCATAAAACATAATTTGCTGTCATTTCTTCTAGCCAAGATAACATTTTTGAGTGATAAATTCCTGCTTAAGGATTTCCACAATTTTGTTTTTGATGAGGTTATACTTAAAGTAGCCTCTAGTGAGATAAGCCTGCACAGAAGGGTAAAGATTGCATGAGGCATCTGTAATAGTCTGATTCATTGAAACAGAAAGAACAGCCCTAGACAGAGGCTTGGATGAGAGGAAAATGGGGGAAGTAGGTGTTCATTGGGTATAAAGTTTCAATTCTGTAAAATGAATAAGTTCCAGAGGTCTGCTACACAACATTGTGCCTATAGTTAAGGGCATTGTATTATCTGCTTGTAATTTGCTAAAAGGGTAGATCTCAAGTTATACATTTTTACTATAATAAAAAAAAAATCTTCTAAAACCACCAAAGTCTTTGGTAAAGATTACAGAAGTGCAAACATTAACATCTTAGCACTGGCTCACAAAATGGATAAGGTCAAAAGTCTGGCAACAAGCTACCAGATCATTTCTCTAGGTTGTAAGTGCCTTCTAGGAAGAAACTAGCATCCCATGTTTGCAAAGATCTAAATAATGTAGTCTTTGTGTATCAATATGCACCCTGCAGTTGTGGAAATTTATATTCAATTTTGTCTAAAAGAACTTGATGTAGGTAGCTGGTAGCTTTTAAATTTTTGTGCTTGATTTGAAAGTCAGATGTATAAGTTTAGGTTCTCAACATACACCTCTTGAAAACTACTTCTTTGCATAAAGCTTTTTGTTTCTTTTAAGCATGTGTTTATAAGATTTGAATTTTATTTCCATTTTCTTGTGGTACTAAAAGCTGGACATTCAAGTCATGCATGTTAATTTTCTTTCAAATGGTAAATTGTGGCTTCAGTGAATTGAGAGGGTGTAGCAGCACACACACACAAAAACATTCAGAAATGTTTTCTATGAACTACCTTTCAAAAATGATAAAACAAGTATATTGAAAATGAAATAGAATTTATTTTAGCATTATGCCATGTAGTCTATGTGTTACTAGGATGAAATGTGTATTTTACAGTGTCATTGTGATAAATAGTGTTGTATTAGGGTTCTGTGGACTTCGCTCAGGAGTTTATTTCAGTGGAGGGTTTTTTTTTTGGGGTATAGGATATTTCTAGTTTCAGGAAGATCATTAAAATGTAGGGAAAGGATGATGCAAAGGAAGCAGTACCAAGGAACTTACAAACATTATCACCTATAAACTTCACAATAACCTCATACAGCAGGTGCTATACTCATTATAGAGATAGAGAAATTTACTGTTGGGGATATTAAGTAATTTATCTGGGAGGAAAAGCCTGCATCTGAACTCAGTCCACCTGGACTGCCTAGGTCCAGTTGCTTTTACTGGAAATTATCTACATCTTGATTTTTAAGTTTTTAATCATTAAAACTAACTTTTAGAGATTATTTCCCCATAAAATATATATGGTAAAGAATTCCAGTCTTTCTCTTTTATTTCCATTTCCATGTATTTGAATTTAGATGTTTCATTTTATTTTACATTGAAACCATTCCAGAGAACCTCCCGAGTACCTATGGGATGCAATGAAGAAACCACTGGCTGAAACTTCTGTTCTTTATTTTAGGTAGAGAGGTGGTCATAGATACTAGCCTGACAATATGCTTCAAGTTTTTCTTTCAAAAGAAAATCTTCCCCCGAATTTTGACTGTCTTAAAATACAACAAGCATCTTTATTCTTTTGATTAACCCCAAGTACTATAGTCATTTCTTGCTTCTAGTGTGAGAATGAATAGAAATATAGCTTTATAGCTAGTCTGGTTTCTGTCTTTGACCACAAACAGTGATTTCTTTTTGATTATTGCTTTGTCTCTAACTGTCAAAAAGAAAATGGCAAGATATTGGGGCTGACCTTTCTGCTTCCAAGTTTGTGTTGCAGTGACAAGGAAAGATGACCTTTAAGGTCTCTGGCAGCCTGAGCTCCAGTAAACCACACATTCTCATATCCACAGGAAATGAAACAGTGAAGGTCATCTCAGCCTGGAGTGGATCTCACAGGGTGGTATGAGAGGGACTCCTATTCTTTAATTACTTTGCCTTGTATAGTCTCAGAATTAAAGATCCATGTAACATAGAAAGATTGAGTTTGAGAATCAGAATCAAAATTACAGTAGCTTTTGAGAGCTTACATTTCTGGGCTTGGCTTTTATGACTTTCTCGTACTCATGGAGATGTGGAGACATTATTTTTAAACACAATAGTTTAAATTTCTAGACTCTAGTTTCATCAGAAAGTTTCAAACATAGCAACATTTAGCTAGCTGCTGTCTCCAGAAGCACTGTGATTGAAGGGAGAATATCCTCGAGATGTCCTCTGGTGCGCTGAAGCCTGCAAATGCCCCCAGCAGCTTGAATCTTAAATATTTCTATTTATGTCTAGTGCACGATGTTCACATTTTAATGGATCTATATATAACTATTAATTATACTTTGGACTTGGTTTCTGACATCTCAGATTGCTGCTATTTAAACTTCAGGTGTGGGGCTTAGTTGCTGTGTTAAACTGGGCAAAGTGTTTATTTTCTCTTTGACTCAGTTTCCATATCTATGAGATATTAGTAAAATCCATTTCATGGATCTGCTATGAGAATTCAATGAACTGGTGTGTGTGTGTGTGTGTGTGTGTGTGTGTGTGTATGCGTGTGTGTGAATGACATGTAGTCAAATATCTGGCACATTGTAAATATGTTTTCTTTTTAAAATATTTTTATCACCACAGTGAAAATATTTTAATCCTATGGCACTTGGCCACTTTTTTCCTTCTTCTCTCTATTTCTTTTGCAAAGGTTGATGCTTCTTTCATTTGAGGCATTATATGCCTTTCCATTCAGCAATTCCTGTGTTTATGTCAGTGTTGAACTCATCTGTGTATTGGAAACGTAATTTTTACTGCCTTTTATTACTCAGTTTGTCCAGTTTATAGTATGTTTTTGTGTTTATGTAGGAAATGAATTATGATCACTGTGTTGTCCTCCATGAAGAATAGGTGCTCAGACGTGAGAGGGAAAGAGAATATAACTGTAGTTCGTCTTCATTAAAAAAAATTCCATGTGCTTGTGAGCCCGTTTAAAAGGAATCCCTGTGATGATAAACCTGACAGGAAACTCCACTTGCAAATATATTGACAGCAATAAAGTAGGGTATTTTCACTTACGTCGCTTCTGACACCATTCAAAGACGAAGTGTGTGTGTGTGTATGTGTTCAAGTGTGTGACTTCTCTTTTAGAGTAAAGGAAACTGAGAAACCAATTAGTCTTGCTGAGACTACAAGGGAAATGTTATCTAGAACTGCAGCTCCCCTGGTTTTAGTAGAAAAATTTGTTTATGTCCTTCGGTTTTGCTGAATGCCATTCCTCTTTTCTATGTCTTCATTCCCTGAATGTGGCCTTCAAGCCCTTGCCTCAGCTTCTCCTGCCTTCATTTGATTTCCTTTATCTTCTCCTTTGCAGTGTCTCTCTCTTTATAATTGCTGACTTCATAGCATCTTTTTGAATTAACCCCAAATATTTGATTTTTTTAGTGCTAGTGTGAGCCTCAGTGTAAAGTAAATTACTTTTCATTATGCCTTTACCTTCCTATTGCAAATGTTGTCCTTGAGCGTGTGGAGGAAACTCACAGATCTCCTTTTGTTTTGTTCCTAAAATACATTGCCTCAGAAAAATGGTCTAAGGAAAAAGAATGATTTTTTTCAGTTATAGGAAAAACTCTGCATTAGAATTTGATTTAAATATGCACTATTCAAAAAATGAGGTTATCTGGGATTGGTTTCAAATTGGTTGCATATTTGCCATCAGATTGTGAATGTTAAACTGACTTTTTGTTGTAAATTCAACATTTATACATTCAGTTTGTTCATTCACTGGTGCATGTAGGTGGTCATTTGGGAGAATTACTTTGATGTTTATACCTTTGATATTTTTTCCCAACAAATTATTTTTTAGGAGCTCTGGCCAAGTCAGTAAGATAACACAAATCTTACATTGTGTATACTTTTCTCCTTTTAGATTATTAGGCTCCTTATTCAAAGACACTTGAAGTGTTCTGTGACATTGTTTAATAAATTTTCACATTTCACATGGAAGAAAAGTATGTTGGTGATATTATTGTCACTTTAGAGATATAAAGTCTATCATTTGAAGTATGAACCTGCTATAACTTAAAATCAAACTATGACTTGCAGTCTTTCTGTAAAGAACATTTTCAGCATTTTCTTGGCTTGGTCAAATTACTGACATAGTTCCATGGAATCAGTGTCTTGGTGGATGGATTTTTTATATCAAGAAGGATTAAGGATTTTCACCCTCAGGCAAATCTCTCAGTACATCTAAAAGATTCAACAAGTTTTATGCTTACAGTCAGGAAATTTTTAAAGGCATAGTAACCCAACTCCTATTTGAGTGTTTGCTACCTTGAGGCTTTGGAAAGTCTGGTCACCTGTCTAGGCAAAGGATGTGCTTCTTCCAGGGTAATTGATAATCTGAGGGGAGAGTTCTGGCTCCGGTCATCTCCTCCACACTCCTAGTAATTAAGTGAAGGTAGTTGAGGGAGATCCTTGGAGTAGTTATGTATGTGCCATCTTTGTGTGAAGTTCTTCATCCTAGAACTGAGGATTTGGGCATCATTTGCTCTTGTTTTGTGACTTCTGAGTTTATTCAGAATCCATGGGCCATCTTTCATGCACCCATCCTTGGATTT